AGTGAAAGAGCAAATGTGACTCATGCCATTATACAAAATGTCATTCTCATTGTTCAAGGTGACTTTAGAGAGGAGCTAGCAATAATACAAAGAAACTGAGTGAGGACCAGTTCGGGCTACAGATCTCCTCAAATTCATGCTGAAAATTCAGAAGCGTCTCCCACGAGAACTGGGGTAAATTCTTACAGAGGCATCTCAATGGAACTGGAAAGTCGGATCCAGCTGTTCTTATTCTCTCCCTGGGATTTGTATGACATTGTGCCAGCACATCCTTTGCATAGTTCATGGATACGAACTCTCTCTTGTGCATTTATGTGATCCCTTTGTGTATTAACATCTGAGCTATGTCACTTGTTGGAGAGTTCCCAGCGCTGTATCAGTGACAAATCATGCCGTGTTTTTGCTTTTAACCCATGTTCGTCCCTTGACTTTTGATAGAATCAGCCCTCCTCCCTTTCCATGCTGGACTTGCTCCATGTGGCTCGTGACATTGCTTGTGGGTGTCAGTACCTGGAGGAGAACCACTTCATTCACAGGTAGGTGAATGCATCTGTGTCAGCATGGGCATGGCTTGCATACAGGACTAGCACAGACTTGTAATGCCCTGCTTGATATGTTTATGTCCTGCTGCACTCTAGTGGCTGGATACCTTTAAACAAGGTAGATAAAATCAGGATAATAAAAGCAATTAACAGAAAGGCTGCTATAAATCAGGTTGCAGAGGACTGTAGTTTTACCAAAGATCCTCAGCTCTGTCTCGGTGCCTGCACTTGCGCAGTCTGTTTGGCTCCACAATTGGAAACACGGTCTTGTAACAGAAGACTTGAAAGCTCTCCCTGTCATAAATTTTGCTTAGTGCCTTTCTGCTCATTCTGGAACCATTTTCTCCTCCCTCTTGAAGAATTGGATCTACAAGTACAGCCAGAAGTGCAACACCTTATGACTGTTGTTACCTGCTCCTGCAGGACAGGGTGTTTGGCCGGTATCCAAAATTCTGCTCATAGCACTGGGTAGAGATGAGTAGAGAGAGATTGTAGTTCACTCTTCTGAAAGAGTCACCCGCAAGGTATGCCACCATATTATTCAGATCTCAAGGTTTACTTCTCTGCCCAGCAGAGGTGAAGCTGGTGCTTTACCTGCATACACAGATTCAGGCTCATACCGTCAGTCTTCAGAGCAATGCCTGCACTTTGTTATTCTTCCTGTCTCTGACAGTACAACACCCGTTTGAGAATATTTGAACAAGCACTCTAGGAACAGGCCAGTGGATCATTCCCCAGATGGCTTGATGTTGGGACTAGTACATTGCTGAAATCAGCCCCACTGCTTGCAGCTCCTTAGAGACTTAAAAATAGCTCCTGGGGTGAAGGGAGGCTCACAGGAGGCCCATCCTTTCAGGTGGAAGATGTTATGTGAAGTTTAAAGAGGAAATGTTAAAGAGCAGAATTGCTCCTGCTGTTGGGGTAGATTGGAATTTGGGGCATCGCTAGTTATCCATAAACACTGACGTTTCTGGCTGTTGTGGGCTCTCTGCAGCTCAGGCAAGTAGGTACTATTCTTGGTTTTGTTTTTGTCTTGCAAAATTGTTGAATGATTAAGTGGTTCTTCTCTTTCTGTTCCTTTTCTTCCCTTTCCTTGTAGGGATATTGCTGCCAGGAACTGCCTTCTTACCTGTCGAGGGCCTGGGAGAGTGGCTAAAATTGGAGACTTTGGAATGGCCCGGGATATATACAGGTAGCAGAGTTGAGCCCAGGGTATCTGCAAGTGAAAGCTTGCTAAAATGAGGGAGGAGCAGTGTTTGCACAGGATAGCAGGCTCCTGTGCTGCTCTGCCTAACTCTAGCAAGGAGAGAGTGGAGAGATCCCACCCTGGTGAATCCCAGCTAATGCTTTTTTGGTGTTTGCCTTCATCTGTAGTTTAACTGTGTGCTGGAGACTTTTCCCTCTCCTGACAGCTTTCTTCTGGGTAATGAAGTCTGATGGTCATGGAAGGCATTTTTCCTCCCTCTTGTACTCTGTCCTCGCTTTCTTGTCTTTCCTTTCTCCACACCGAATGGCATTGATGTGCCCTTTTGTTTTGTGGTCCCAAATCATTCTGAGTTTAATCTCTCTCCTTGATACTACCCCTGCCCCTTTGGTTTGGTGTCATCAGTAAATCTCCTCAATTTACTGCAGATAAAGGAGGAAGGTGCAGAGGAAGGTCAGGAAAATGTAATCACCCGGACTGGAATTCAGCCAGGACACAGGGTTAACTACTCTGCTCTTGCAAGAAGTGCCAGGAAATCTTTAATGACCGTGAGCAGTCAGGGCTGCAGTTTGATACCTCATCTTCCACATAGCACCTCCAGAAGTGCAGTACCTTGTCCTGCTGTGCTGAGGAATTGATTTGCCTCTGACTTGGAGGAAGGAATGCCTTATACTCAGTCACCTGCACTGTTTATGCCAGTGCCTTGCCTTTTTTTTTTTTTTTTTTTACCTGCTTGGGGATTCTCCTGTGCAATTACTAAGCCAGGCCTGGCTCTGCTTAGCTTGAGATCTGACAGTATCACAGCCTGAGGTGATGCAGAGTGCTGCCTTCAAAAACCCAAGCGTATCAGAACTGCTTTTTTTTTTCCCCCCCTTTCTCTCACTCCCTTACAAAGAGCCCCCACTTTACTCCACTGTCAGATGGGACTCTGCTGGGACAAAGTAGCATCTGTCACACTCACACAATCAGCAGAACCGACTGCCAAGATGAATGCTTTGGTGCAGAGTTTTCAAAGGTGCCTTTGAATGTTGCACATGTTTCTGTGTCCAGGAATATCCTTTGGATGCTCTGGCTGTGTAGTTACGAACAGCGAAACCAGCTTGCATGAGCAGCCTCCTGCAGCTGCCAGCACTGGATTTGGGGCTCGTAGATTTTGTTTTAAATGACGATGACACTAAAGGATGGATGTACTTCCTGTCTCAGGAGCACAGGAGGTGGTTCTTGTACTACTTCCCCGGCTCTAATGGCTGAGCATCCTCCTCATCAACCCCTGGTTCTCACTGAGGGTTTTGGATTTCGTTTGCAGTGCTTTAGACTGGGTACATTTGGAACAAGCTTTGTTTATTTTTGGTGAGGATGTTCAAAGTGAACACATTGTGAGGTGAGGTGGAGATGTTGCTGTTGCTGAGAAGTGCAGGAGGATGGCTGTGCCAGCAGCAATTTACTATGTGAGTAATTCACTAGAAGTACGCACACAGATAAGGATAACTTGGGTTCACCAGATCAAGGCTAAAATGAGGGAGATTAGAGCAGTCCTTCCATGGTCTGCCCATTGCCACTATTTTTGAGAGAAGGAACAGGTGTCTTCAGCATTTTCTCTGCCATGCTGTTTTGCCTGAATTAGTCTCTCCTCTGGCTCATAATTTTAATATTTGTAATTATAAAAATCCCAAATGAATGGCATTTTCTGAATTCTTGGCTGAGTCTTTGTTTGTTCTTTGCAGAGCCAGCTACTATCGGAAGGGTGGGTGTGCAATGTTGCCCGTCAAATGGATGCCTCCTGAGGCTTTCATGGAAGGGATATTTACATCAAAAACAGACACATGGTGCGCTGCTTTTCCTTCTCCATCCTGTCTTTGTTGTAACCCCTTTTGTAAAGTGTGAATATTTTGTAAAAAATACATGCTGTTGTTCATTTCTCCTTTACTAAAAAGACAAGCTGGGTCTTTCAGAGCCAGTAACCTTGAAGGAGACAAGGGAACGGAAAGATCAGAGCTGTGCAAATGCAGGTGCTGCTGGGGAGGTGAGCAGGCAGAGGAGGGAGGTTGAGGCCGACGCAGGTGCTGCTTTGCTGCTACAGGGAGGAAGGTGTTAGTTCCACACGAAGGAAAGCAGCATAAGAGACTGTGTCCTGCATTATATATTGTGGCTTTCGTCTTTCTCCTGGCCTGCAGCAGCATTGTAGGCTCTTGAGTTGCCAGTGGCCAGAGGGGAGGGAAATTGGGTGAGCAGGAGGCCAAAGCTCAGGACGCGTGTGGAGGGGAAGGGGCTGGTGGTCAGGACACAGCTCCTGAGCAAGCCCCAGCAGAGAAGAGGAGGTGCACGCTCTCGTACAGCTGAACTGCTGCCTGTCTCAGCACCAAGCAGAAGAGTTTCCCATTGCTGCTCATAGCTCTTCTGCAATTTTAATCAACAAGATTTCTAAGCAGCTGCCTGATGAATGCTTTGAGGGGGATCCTGTCCCAGCCATTGTCCCCAGGGCTTTGCAGACCACACCACACAGGCCCAGGGCTGGGGTGTTAGCTGGGGAATGTTTTTATTGTACTATACAGGTGAGGGTTGGGAGGCTCAGAGCATCAGCAGGGATTCACTGGCTTGTTATTTCATGCAGGGTAGCTTATTCAGGAGGAAAACTTGATCATAATTGTTAGGCCACTGCTCCCCTCCGTCCTGTCTCCAGCAGTGGCTGATGTTTCAGAAAAGCATAACCTGACTTTCACATTTGTTACAGCTAGTTGAACAGTGCTGAGTACAAAGGCAAAGCAACCAGATTTCCCTACCTATATTGTAGACTTTACTGACTTAACAGTCAACTACTAGCATTCATCAAATGTTTATTCAAAATCCACCATTACAACTGTGCGGCTTATTTATGTCTGAATCCTGCAGCAGTGATTTCCACAAGCTGCCTGAGCACAGACTGCAAAGAGCAATGCTGATGGTACTGCAGCTAAGGGCATTGCCCCTCCATAATGGTCATTCCCATATCCTTCACTTCGTTTTCCTTCTCTTCTGTATTCAGGTCCTTTGGCGTATTGCTGTGGGAGATATTCTCTTTGGGATACATGCCCTACCCCAGCAAAAGTAACCAGGAGGTTCTGGAGTTTGTAACCAATGGAGGAAGGATGGATCCACCTAAAAACTGCCCTGGCCCTGTGTATGAGATTTTAACTTTTATATATTCATGCAAATAAGTTTGGAACGCTGTTCTCTAGTCAAAAGTTAATGGCTTTGAAGATTGATCTTATTTTGCCTGATCCGTCTTACTGGACTTGAGTGCCAGAGACTTCTCTACTATTGAATTTTTCTGTCTGTTTTGGAGAATAATTCAGGGCCCCTTTGAGAAGTACTCGCCACTGCCTGTGTGATCAAAGGTGGTGCAATATTTCTGTGTCTCAGGTTAGCTGTGAAACTGCAAGTGCGCAAGACTGTTCACAGGTAGGGAAAACTGGGCTCCACTTTCTGTAGCCCTGCCTACCTTTAGTGAATTGCCCATGGATTTTGGGTGGGTGGGTTATTTCTCTCATGCTGTGGATTTCACCCCACTGGTGGCCACGTTTCAGTGGTTACCAGTACATCAGTTGTCTGACTGTGGGGAAGGCAGAGCGCTCTTTAGTTATTATAGAAGTCAGAGTGGTGATGCCTACTTGTGGTTTCTAGTCTGCAGCGACCAGCTGTTATGTACCCACAGGATCTGCCATTTATGAGCATCTCCTGTTCTGCTCTTTCAGTTACCGCATTATGACCCAGTGTTGGCAGCACCAGCCCGAAGACCGGCCAAATTTTGCCATAATCTTGGAGAGGATCGAGTACTGCACTCAGGTATCAGTGTTCATCCATCTCCCATGAAAGAGGTGGAGAGCGTTCCTGTTGAGCGGTTTAGGCGAGCCAGAACATGAGATGAGAAGGCAGCGCTGTATTACTGCAGTCAGCACTCCAGGGAGACTGATGTCAGCCTGGCACAGACTGAGGTATCCTGGCTGGGATATTTACCCCATCGGGTGGTTGATCCTTCTTGTCTTTCACTGCTGAAAGGCCCAGGCTTACACAAGCTTACACAGCTTTACAAATAGCAGGCCAGTAGCTCTGCTGCTGCTTATAAAGGCACAGATTCCAACAAGCAAAAGAGGTAAGACAGGCCAGCCCCCATAGAAACTTCACGTGCTTCACGCCAGCCACTCCATCCCAGTGTTTACCCTTAAGACACTGTCAGCACTGAGCAGAAATGGCCCTGGCTCAGAGCAGCCTTTGCAGGCAGCTTCTGCAGCTGTCAGCAGCTTTCTGGATCTGACTCTGCTGCAGAAGACAAGTGGAGACTGCCATGGTAAAGGAGTGGGGATTCCAAGGCTAAGCAGCGGGGGGAAAGATGTGTCTGGCTTTCTAGGCTGAAATCTGATTGATTTATTTATTATTTTTACCACTATTTTTAGCTTATGAGGAGTGGAGTAGTTTGGAAGATGTTTTGGTGCCTGCATCAGCGCAGGCTTCTTGTGTGGCCTCACACAGTTACTTGCCTCAGTTTGCTTTCCCTCACTGTTCAGGAGGCTTGGTCTGTTTTTCATGTGTGTTTGGATCCTGGGATTGGGAGGCATTGTTTTCTGCTTGCTGTGGCATCTAGCAATAATTAATGGTTGCCCAGATCACCACATTTTCTCTCAGTTTAATTTTCAAAACTGCTTAAATAGCTCAGAACCACAGTCCCTATGGATTCAGGCTTCAAGGGGTCTGCCAGTATTGCCTCCTCTCTGCATTCTCATTCCTCCCTTGTTGTGTGGAGGCAATACTTTCCTGGCTGAAACTTTCTCAATATTATCTGAGAACGTTATGAACTTCAAGATGATATAGATTCCAAAACAACATTCCCACAGGAAATTTGGCTGCAAATAAAAAATGTTTTTCATTGGTTTTGTGCCTCTGCTGTTCTGTGGTGAGTTTTAGGGTTGCGTTTTTTTAAAGAGTTTGATTTTTAAGGGTATTCCATTGCATCTCACGGTTAACTGCATTTTGTCAGCATCTTTTACTCATGGAATATGGGCTCTGTGAAAGATGGGCTCAGGGAAAGATACTCTGTGATCACAGCATACAGCTGTCAGATGTGTCGGGTTTTTAATCAAGTCTGAGTATAGTAGCAGACTTTGAGAAATTCTCATTGTTTTCTCTGGCAGGATCCAGATGTCATCAACACTGCTTTGCCAGTAGAATATGGCCCATCAGCTGAGGAGGAGGAGAAGGTAGCGATGCGCCCCGACGATCCAGAAGGAATTCCTCCTCTCTTGGTCTCCACGCACCAAGACAGAAAGGATGACAAGCAAACTCTGCCATCTCCAGCACCCCTGCCGTCAGCCATCACTGCTGGAAAACCTCTAGGGAAAGCGGGAGCCTTGGAACCACCAGTGCCAGGGAAGGCGCAGTCAGGCTCCGCAGGAGGACACATCAACATGGCCTATGCCCAGTCCAATCCCCCTTCTGAGCTGCACAAAAGCCGGGGCTCCAGAAACAAGCCCACCAACCTCTGGAATCCAACCTATGGTTCCTGGTTTGCGGAGAAGCAGGCCAGCAAAAACAGTTCTCTGCTGGAGAAGGAGATGCCCGAGAGGGAGAATTTGGGACAGGAAGGAAACTGTACTGTGGGGCCCAACATTGTGACTGGCAGGCTGCCAGGCTCCTCCCTGCTATTAGAGCCATCGTCCCTAACAGCAAGTGTTAAAGAAGTGCCTCTCTTTAGGCTCCGCCACTTCCCCTGTGGGAACGTCAACTATGGATACCAACAGCAGGGCTTACCCTTGGAAGCCTCCACGCCACCCTGCGCTAGCAGTTACGAGGACCCCGTCCTTAGAAACAAGAGCCACGTAACCCAGCAGGGGCCGTGAGAGCCCTCTACGCTCGTGACTTTTCCCCCTGTGGCCCCTGAGCCTTGAAGAGATGTCCTGTTACCCAATACACCACGAGCAAGGGATCTGACAGCGTTACCTTCCGTTTTGTGCCAACTTGCTCCAAAAGTGCCACCCTCGAAGCTGTAATTTCAACTAAGCCGAGAGGCTTCAAATCACCGGAGCCCCAATACAGTAAAAGAAACAAGGGGGAGGGAGGATACAGGAAACAGATGTTAACTGCAAGGCCCAGCTGCTGTTGCATCAACTCATACACATGGTTGTTGTCATGCCCTTCCCGTGAGCTTTTCTGTTGTGCATTCTCTGCTTAGTGTGAAGCCGCAGCTCACTACCTTGAGTGTTTCATGTCTGGGGTTTTCCGTGCCAAACTTGTGGTTGCTGTGGAACACCTGGAGATCTCCTGCAGCTGGCAGAGGTTGTAGTGGGCTTGGGGAGAGCATCCTCCATCCAAACCAAAAAAGGATACAACAGCGCTGAATGGTGATGTGATGGCACATTCCCAAGTTGTGTTCCAGCTACAGTCCAGTCTTCGAAAGTCCTTGAACGCACAGCGGTTATGGGGGGTGTTGGCAGGGCAATAGAAAGACACCGGTCATCCTGCATCGCTTGAGAGAGGAGAGGAAGCACAGAGGATGAGTGTAGATGCTGGGGGGGGGCGGGGGGGGGGGTTGGGTTGGGTTTTTTTTTCTTTTTCCTGTAAAGCCCTTTAAAATTCATTCGGGCCTACAAAAGTAGGAGTGTCCTTCATCAGGAACTTGTGCGTGTCAAGTGGAACCAAGGTGAAGTTTTAAAGGACTGTGGTCATGAGAGAAACTTTAACCATGCCCTGAAAATGGATGGCCACCTGCATACCTCAGAGGTTTACAGTAGCCTTTGACATACCCTGTACAAACACCACCGTAAAAGCAGAAGACTACATTGTGCCACAATCGGATGCCAGATACTGTCTGTATTTAGAGGGTTTAGAGCCCTTGTTCCTTTAACAAAATACGTGTATGATAGCGGTTTAAAGACAAATACTGCATTGACTCATTTTGTACACCTTGTGCATGAAAAATATTCCAGTTGTGTGTTGTCAAAACATAGATGTAGGAAATAATTCATGTGTAAAGATGTGCATTTGTAACTTCAACTTAGGGTTGCAAGGAGCTGTTTTAGCATGAACGCTATCCAAAAAAGGGGTGCCTGTTTCCATAGAAATGGGTGTACTGGAGCATCAGCAAAGGAATGTGAAGGTGTTCTTCAGTCTGAGACTCTTTGTTTCAGCAAAGTGACTCTGAATCTGGCCCCGGATCCCAACACTGAGGTAAGCTTCCTGTCTTCGCCAGGGAACAAACCAGAATCCACATTTACATGCTCCTGACCTTTGAGATATGCAGACTGAAATCGGAGGGCTTGGGTCACCACCCTTCTAAAATAACATAAGAGGAGGGACATAGCATGCTCTCCTAACCTTCCTTTCTGCCATCTCTGATACACAGAACTAAAGCCCTTTTTTAGGCAAATGCCAGAATTGTGTGTGGCGGTTGGTTAACAGGGCTGTGCTCTTCTGCTGGGAAGCTCGAGCCAGGAGCTGCTCTGCATTTTATGTTCGTCTCCTGGTGAGCCGTCGCAGCACTGCTGCGTGGGCTTGGTGGGGATAATGAGGGTTCCACTTGGGGTGTTCTGCTGCTATGCACAAGGTGTCCTTGGGTTGAACTAAGGGAATATTTGTGATCTGCAAGGTGGTTAGGCTCGCAGCACTTGTCATGAAATAGCCACTGGGGAGGGATTCTGTCCAGCTCATGGACTGTGTTAGTGTCACACTGGCCACTCTTTCGAGCTCAGTGGGGTGGTTTTCTAGAGTCTAGGCAAAGCTAATTAATTCAGCAGGTAAGCACTATGAGAAGACTTTCACATATAAAATAGTAATTTTCATTTAAATATTCCAGCTTTCTCATTTTCAAAAGGGCTGAAGTTCATCGTTTTCTTTAGCTCTCCTTTGCATAGGAACACACTCAGTTTTTGCTGCCCTGTCTCTTACGTGTTACTGAGGACAGAATCTCTGACCCGTAGGCTGATGAGTGTTTTTAAAGAGTACACAAGAACAGAAAGTTGCAAAATTAATCATCTTTGACTAGCTGAAATTATTTATTCTTGGATCTGGGGCAGCAGCTCTGATGCTGCGCAACTGTAGATAAGCTGCCAGATTATACTGTTAAAGGTAGCATTTCTAAAGAAGCTTTAAAAGCACGAGCAGCAAGAGATGGTTATAAGTGAGGGTTGACGGGGGGGGAAGGCAGGCTTTCCCCAGCCACGGCAAGAGCGTGATGACTGCTCTGCAGCTTGTGCTGTGCAGTCGTCGTATCGTAGAAGTTCAGCTGAAATACTCTTGAAGAATGGGAGTTGTAAACAGTGAAGGAGCTAAACACGTTTCTGCTGACCTATGGAATATGTGAGGAGAGAATTCTAGTCAGGGGAACTGGTGAATTGCTACCAAAATTCTCTAGTCTGCTGGGTACGGTGCATTGAGATAAATACTGTTCAGCAGTATTAAGTTTAAAACCAGCAGCTGGTTTTAAGTAAGCTTCCTTCCAGTGTCTCCAGTGTAAAATGCATTGTTGTGGGGTTTTTTTGTGTTGGGTTTTGTTTTTTAAAATCCCACCCCCCACCCTCGTAACTCTTGGTATTCAGAGGAATTCAGAAATCTAGTTTGGGTTTATTTTTAATGTGGGAAAAAACCAAAATATCTCTCTGAGCTCTCCCACAGCAAGCATTTAGTTTGGTACCCCTGAGTTCTCTCCAAGCACAGTACCTCAGTTTGCAAAAATTGCTTTGTAAATATTGATGCTAATCAAACCCTGCCACTCAGAAACAAGGGTTGGAGCATTTGCCTGTCCTCTTTCTTACAAAACAAATACTACCATCAATGACAAATGATTTCCATGAGTTAATTGCCTGGAGTAAAGGGCGCTCTGCTACTTCTGCTCAGGCTGCATCAAAGACAGTTTCCTGGTCATTCTGCAGTTGCGTTGCCTAAGCGTCTGTCCCGTTGCCAGAGCGTTGCTGGGATTTCAGTGACAGTGCAAGATTGTATTTGTTTCACTGGGGTGATGCGAGGAAAGCTTTCCCTAAGGGTACCTGTTTCCTCTGGCACTGGAGTAACAATTCATGCTGGGGCACTCTGAATTACTACACCATCTCACCGTAGCTGAAAGGCTGACAAACGGTGGAACGTTTAACCAGTGAGCGTGTGAGAGCTGCAGTTGCCACCCAGGTTTGCCCTGGGTTGATGAATTACTAGCAGCAGTCCGTTTAGCGAGGTGGACAGAAACTCCTGAAGGCCTTTCCCAGGGAGTCTGACCAGGGCAGAGGGAAACAACAGAAACTCGTCTCTGTGTGCTGGGGTAACCCTAACAGACTGCGGTTCGGAGGTTATAGACTCTGTGTGTGTAAAGAGCTAATTCACTCAACAGTTGTAAGGAGACTGGCTTAAGTTCTGTACCAGAAGGTACTTCACAGAATTTATTTTAGCATTTCTCTTACAACATCTGGAAGTGTTCAGTGTTCGTGTTTCTTCTGTTCCAATTTCTAGCAGTTTCATTCTAGCACATTTCCTACAGCTGTGCACCATTAGCAAGAGCATTTTGTCCAGTGATGCACTCGGAATTGTTAATTTCTGTATCTAGCAAGATTCACCTGTTCAGTTCTCAGAGCTGCAGGGAACAGAAAGGGCAGTCACCATGAGCTCACCAGACCAAAGCACCCTGCATGTGTAAATCCCAAATTCCCTTATTAAACGCCTCCACGCTAGGCTTACAGTGTTGTA